CCTCGAGACTCATTTTTCTCCGGTGTTGAAATGCTGCCCTGAAAACTACAACTTCTGGGCTCCAGAGGAACCCTGCAGGGCACAAATGCCTGAAATAGAGTAGAACAGCATTCACGGAGAAGTGCCTTTTGCCTCGGAAACTTACGTAACCATAGGACAGCTATGGAAAATGCCTATGAATAATTTACGATAGGCAGTAATGTTTTGAAGAGTAGTTGGTCAAAGAGGTTATTGAACAGGTTTGACAGAATTTAAGTTCAGCCAACTTAACTGGTTCACACTTAAATTATTCTGTGCTATTGCTACTCAGACTACCTAAACTTTGCCCACATCTTAATGAAATTCTATAATAAGATTATGCAAAGTTTTTTTTCCAAGAACTGATACTAAAATACTTTATAGCTGCAAATTAGTCCTGATTAAATTTGCACATGCAAGGTGCTATTGCGACTCAAACTAAAACTTTGTCATCATCTTAATGAAATTCTATAATAAAATTAGTGTTTGTACATTTTTTCAGTCATCTTAATATGATCACACTGACAACTGAGAAATATCCAATGGAATTACACTGTAAAAAAAATATTGTTGGTTTAATTTTTTAAAAAAATGAAGTAACCTGGTCGCCTTAAAATTAAGTTAATTAAAATGGAAAAATTGAGTTGATACAATGATTGTTTGAGTTTGATTTAATCATCAGAAACTAAAAATATTATGTTATCTGAACCACATAAATTATTTAAGTTGACTTGACAAAAGAAAATAGTGAATTCTAGCTCTAAGGATTCCTTTCAAAATATCGCCAACTAAAGTAAATATTCGAGATATCATCTGTTAAATCAATGTTAGTACAGTGTTGTCAAATATAGTTGCACACTCAAGTTAAACATTACAAGTGACCATGAGTTTCATGTAACTATTCTTTCTAACGAAATTTTATTAAACTAAGTACTATGTTTTTATTTTTTATCCTGGTAACTCATTTTAATTGAATTACCGACTGCATGGGATCTTGCATGTTTACTGAATGAACATTGCTATAATACATATACCTGATGCCATCTGTGAATGTTAACTCAGTGTCAGGACACAAAACTAATTAATCTTTGTTTGTGCTTAAACATGACAAGGAGGCGACTCAGGCGAGTATAATAAAACTTAGTGCTGTTAACATTTCAGGATTTGTTGATTTAGGATTGCAATATAGGCCTAACCTTAGTTTTTGATCAAAACATTCCAGGATTTTTCTCCATATAATGGACTTCAATGGGAACCAAACAGTTCAAGGTCCAAAAGACAGTTTCGGTGCAAACTGTTCAAAGGGCTTTAAACGATTTCAGACGATAAATAAAGGTCTTATCAAGCGAAACGATCGCTCATAAAAAAAAAAAAAAAAACGTTTTATAAGATCAAATGCTCCCCATGCTCTGTTCTGTGATGCGCGTTCGTGACTCTCCTGTTCGAACTCGTTCATCAAAATGAACAAATCTTTTTTTTCGTGTCATTTGGTTCATTCAACGAACGAAATGAACGAGTTGACTGGAAAAGATTTATAACAAAGACATCTTAAACAATGTCATATTGTTTAAGTTGTCATAAACATGCATAAACACTATATTCAAGACATATGTCATGTAATGATTATGAAGGTGTCATGTCTGTCTAAGTTACTTAATTTGAAAGTTACTTTGTAACAAGCAAAAATCGGTCATAAACAGAGAATTGCTAATAAGCACACACTGATCTCATTAAAAGAGTTTCGTATTCAACAACACAGTTTAGTAATAATAAGCCATTTCCAATGCACAGAACATTAAACTAAAATATTGAAGACATCCTCCTGCACGACACAGCTTTTTGACAATCAAAAGCTCTTTAGAATAAAAACTCTAAAAAATAAATAAAATAAATTTTAAAAAATACATTGCGCATTTAAAATGTACAGTCTTTCTTTTCTGGGAAAATGAAACAAATATATTGATGACATCATCCTGCACTACACAGCTTTTTGTCCAATCACATGCTCTTTAGAATAAAAACGTCCCAACTAAATACACCAGAATGAAAACTAAAGTGTAATTTCATGGCTGATCTGACATTGGTTGCTAAACACAATTTAGGATTATACACTGTAAAAGAATATTCTTATGATTTGTAATCACAACAGTATTTCTTTTGTCAAATCAACTTAAGTAATTTAAGTAGTTCAGATAACATAATATTTTAAGTTTTTGATGATTAAATCCATCACCTTCATTGTATTAACTCAATTTTTTCATTTCAATGAACTTTTTAAGGCAGCCAGGTTACTTTATTTTTTTAAGTTAAACCAACAATATTTTATTTCAGCAATCGGGATGTTTTTAAAGGAGCTTCAGCCAGAAGATTGCAACTGATTTTAGACGGCCAAACACAGCAAAGGTTGATCCCAGCGAGTACTTTACTCCGGGCAAAAAAAGGCCTTTTCCAGATGCCGGTGAAATTATCCCTGCTGTCAGAGCAATTCTCTTGAAGACATTTTCTGGTTTGAAATACATTTTGTTAGTTACTATGTCAGAAACATAGGTTCAGAAGTCTGCCGTAACATAATTAATGCCATTACATAATTAATACTACATGATTTTGTAAGAGAAAGCTACTGGCTTTCCAATGTAAATGCCAAAGCAATGCATTTTTGGGCATGTAGTTTTTAATCTACCAAATGAAAAACAGGTTGTTGCTGTTGATCAGGTTTTCTAGGCAATAATTAAACTTAAAATGGAGATCAAAGCAATGGCCAACTCACAGTGTCTTGTAAATGCCTGTCCTGACAACCAGAAACACAACATAGGTAATGTGGCTCATTCTGATTGGATGACATGTCATTTCCTCCACCTTAAAACACACCAAACCACCAAAACTGGCAAAACAGTCAGTCATCTTATCATACCTGGAAATTGTTCACACCCAGTGCAACCCACACATCCGTTCCACATGTTAGCTCGCATAAAGCTTCTCTTATGGCTTAAGAGGTTTAAACATAAAGAATGCATTGTGAAATACAGCGAAGAGGGCGGAAAAGTAGCCCGTGCAGTCGAGACGGAGCCAATATTGACTTGAAATGAATGGCCAAGGTCAACGGCTTTGATACCACAGATACTGTACTGGTGGTCTATTTACAGGCCATCACATGAAAAATTCAGACCAAGAAGAGGAAGTTATAAAGATGTACAGCAATAAATCACTTTTTTAGAGCATTGATGGGCCTGATAAAACATGTGCCAGTTATCTCAGTGTTTCTCCAATTCGTGAGGTCAACTCATTTAGACGTTTGGTGTTCTGAGGAATTACTATTGCACACAATAAAGGCTATGGGGTTGACCTCAAGCATTAAACTTAATCAAGTATTACATTTTATGCCACTATTGACATTATCATACAGTATAATTAATAGCCGAGAACTGAATTCGAGAATAATAACACTTCGTATCTCAACAACCATAAACATTATCGACAAGTAGGGGTGAAACAATATACCGCGCCGCAATATATCGCAAAACAAAAATGCAACAATACATATCGTGGATAGTTCCCCCAAAATAAAAACTATTTTTTCAGAGTTTTAGTGTCAGTACTATTTTGAACTACTATATATAATGTTGATTATAATGTATATTTGTGGGTCCTGATAATGCCAAATGTCTGATGTAACCAGTAAAAAGTGGCCAACATTATTTTAAATATATCTAGTCAGTGACAGAGTGCAAGCATATTCGTCTTCAAAATAATTCTGTATTTTCAGCTTCAGAATCATGAATATTGCTATTCTGACAGCATTGTCCTTGGGTTACACGCACCAAGTCCATGCCTATTCATGTAAACACATATCGAAAACCTCCGCACTAGCCTACATTACACTCTAACTGCAGTCTATGCTTTATGAATTGGTACTTCAAGGACTCAACCCTCAAACCTACACCAAACAACTCCAGAACTACAATTAAACCATTTTAATAACTCCATCAATAGCTGACCAAACTTAATACAGCTTGCATTCCAAAGGTTTTGAACCCCATAAGATTGATCCGATCACCACTTTACCCTTGAGCAAGGCACTTAACCTCAGGTTATCCCATAATACAATTTTTAAGAATTACTATGCTTGTACCATGAACTTATTTTAATTTTCAACCATTGTAAGTAACGCTTCCTTTTACAGTACAGTACTTACAGGGTGTACTTACCTAGATATAAGGTAAGTACATGAAACAGAGGTAGGTTTAGGGGTAGGTTCAGGGTTAGTGCTAGTTATTACCCAGTAACTGTAGTTACTAAAATAAGTACATAGTATTTACATGGGTAACTGGACTGTAACACTCAAATACCGTAGTATTTACATGGCCCTCCAAAGTACTTCAAATTAATAACGTGTTAAAATGGTCGTTGTTGTAAGTCTACATTTACAAAAAAAAGTATACAATCTTTATTGTGCATAGCAGAAGGCCTTTTGTGTCCGTTAACAACAAAAGTACAAACTGCGTATCAATATAGTATACCATAATGTAGTGAAGGCTACCACGAACACTATAGCCTACGTATTAAAGAATACTGAAAAGTGACATGATTGTTTGGACGTGGTATCACTGAACTATCGTGTCTTTTAAACATGTACTATTGAAGTAAGCTAGCTATAGTATTCTCGGAAGTAGCATACCTTGGAGTACGATGTCAATAGCATGGTAACGTTAACGTTAGATGAATTTTACATCCAAGTAAGATTACCATAACTTTACGACAGAAAAGGCACATTGTGTTCCTCCTATAAGGGTTAGTTGTACATTTATAATCAAATCGCTGATAAAACACCCAATGGATTTGTGATTGATAGATTTGAGTGTATAAATAACACAAATAAAGACGTATAACACAAATGCGCGTGTTCCGCAGTGGACTGCAGCACAGCAAACGCGCCCCGCTTTCATTCCATACGCTTTTGTAAGGCAACCCAAGCAAACACTCACCTGATTAAAGATTTAACGTTATGATATGGATGTTAGAGGCTGTAGAAACGCCGGTGTTTGCTCTGTGATCGGAGTCGGTGTGGTTCCAGGCACCTGACAACGGTCTGTGTATTTCGTTTCGCTGTCTGATGATGATCACATTCAACACAAAGAGCGTCGAGACCGCAGGGAGCGTGGCGATTTTACCGACGGGCTCGAAAACGTAAAACATAATGAAACGAGCTTTTAGGGATCCCTAACTTTGTAGAACATTGGCCTACATGTATTTTTTTTCATATTTCATTAGTGATTATTTCAAATAACTTAAAAACGAATTAATCTCACAGAATAATCTCACGTCCATCCAACTACTAGGCTACCAAGTGAATGTAAAATAAATATTTTAAAAAATCATAATTAAAGTAGTGGGTCTATAAAAGTGCACGTGTTTCCAAACTGTATAATCGATCTTTTAGAAAAAAAATCGATTTTTCCGAAATATGTCAGGGTTTACATGAGAAAAGTGAATGAACAACTCATTTGAGTCGGATCTTTGCGATGAATCGCTCCTTAAAGTAGTGATGGGAAGTCCGGTTCTTTTCCGCGAACCGGTTCTTTCGGACAGTTCGTTTTAATGAACCGGTTCAAAAAACCGGTTCACCAGTTCTTTTACGTCATCACGTAATGACGTCAATTCTATCATCCTGGCGGATAAAACTACTTCAAATTACAGGCATTTTTAATCATAACTTCAGTTAAATAATAGTACACATTGTCATAATCATCTTGGATAAGTTTCTTACATTTACATTTTGAAAACGAACCTGCTGCAGCCTAGGCGATGTGCTAACGCGGATGTTTTACATGTTTTAAATATATAAAATGCATAAATGGTCTTCATCATTTTATTTGTTATTAAATAAACTTACATTTCGCCGATTCGCCCTCTCATTTAAGTCATGGGTTCACCCGTACTACTGCGTGCTCGTATATCAGCACAGGATCAGCCGAAAGAAAGTTCTGTTCAGAGACGGCGCTATCACGCATGCGCAGTATCTCCAGCTCATCGGTTCTCCGTATCGAACGTGTCCGAAAGAAACAGTTCTTGGTTCTGTACTAGTGATTCAAGAACTGCAACAACCAGTTCTCGACTCGAGAACCATAGCATATAGGCCTGTGTGCTGAGCTGAAACCTGAATATACAGTCAAAACTAAAAAATCGATGCATGTCTGTCTCCAATAGCCTTCTGTAGCCTATATACATATCATGTTTATAATGTGTTAACATAACGAATTAAACATGTTTAATTCGTTATGTTAACACATTATAAACATTTTCTAAGCAGTGCACCATTAAAACCTTGGCAAGAGTTTACATCAAAGATTTTATTGTTACTAGAAATTAAATGAGCTGTTCCTGAAAATATTATATTAGTATAATAATAAATGTTTAGTTTGACAGTTTTAGAATCCAATCATTGTTTACAATCGTTAAAATAATACAGTGATAATACAGTAATTATGTGATAAACATGTTTCCAAAATGTTTTATTTTGTTACACTGATGTTCAACTAAAGACATGGAAACGTAGCCTACATTTCGTCCCTCAGAAAAAATGCACGCATGCTCAGCTCATCAACTCATCAGTTCTCAGTATGTCGAACGGGTCCGAAAGAAACAGTTCTCGGTTCTGTACTGGTTATCCGACCGCTGTACCTGTACGTTCGGTAGCACACGCATGCGCAGTATCAGCTGCTCGTGCTCATCACTTCTCTCAGCACCAACATGTCTCCGTTCAGTGAACTTTGAGTTACTGGAATAAAATATACTTTTGGATATTGGTTTATTTCGATTCGGAGGGACTGTCAGGCATGTCTGAAAGTGAGTAACTTTAGTAACTTGTGGTTTAGCGCTGACGCAAGACGCGAACTGTTTCGGACGATTCAGTCCGATTTAGTGTACTGGTTCGACCGGTTCACTAAAAAGAACCGGTTCAAAAGAACGATTCGTTCACGAACCGGCCATCACTACCTTAAAGGTGAATTTTTTTTTGCCTAATCGATCCGATCCGAATTAAAGGAACACTCCGACTTTTTGGGACTTTAGCCTATTCACCTTACCCCCCAGAGTTAGATAAGTCCATACATACCTTTTTCATCTCCGTGCGTGCTATAAGTCTGTTTGACGCACCCACCGCTAGCCTAGCTTAGCACAAAGACTGGATGTGAATGGTTGCAGCTTTCATACTAATCCAAATGAGTGACAAAATAACGCAAACGTTGTCCTATTTACATGTTGTGGTTTGTATAGTCACAGAGTGTGCAAATATCAAGGCCATATGAGACACAGACATCTTTTGACCGTATAAATACTATATTTTCTGAAGGGGAAGCACTGCTACTTGGGCAGAGTGATAACAATCACCTGAGACGCACCGTGACGAGGAGCAGAGAGTTCGCTTCGCTCAGCGTTGGAATAAAGAGTCAGCAATTACTAACGTTAGATAGAAAAGCATAGTTTATCATGGGTGTTTGCTTTATTGTATGAGCTGTGACAATAAACAGGGGAGACCAGGTAATACAGTACCATGTTTCATTGATTTCCAACCAAAAACGCACCCAGATTTATAAATATCACATGAATAAATAATTATTATTACAGGAATCAATATATTTTAAATGCAATTTATTAGCTGAACCAAATGTATTCAACAGTAAATACATTTGCCTATATAATATACAGTATTGCATTACTATAGGATAGAATAAGGGGAAAGTAATAGCACAAATTGTTTTTGCACAATGAACTCACAGCCTAGCGTACCCTTTTGCACGCTCAAGTTCGTTATTTCCATGGTTATTTCAAATTTAGGCTACTAGGCGCGCCGCGCGCAGGGTGCAAGTTCAACGCGGTGAACGCGCTCGTTTTTTTTCCCCAAGCGCGTCCGCACCGCATCAAGATAAAAACATATTCATACCCTAATCATATAATAGTGTCACTAACGTTACATTAGATCTGGCTAAAGGCACTGTTACAGTAGGTCATCTAAAAACATAACGGAACACTTACCTCAGCCGCAGGTGATCCACTTGTCCTGTCTGTGCGATGGGATGGCCGTATCCTTCAGCACATTATGGTCCGTGTGGCAAATTCCATTTTTTCAAAATAGTCGTCCTCATTGAAATGTACCGAGCAAACGTAATGTCCCTTGATAATCTTAGGTGTGTTTGGATAAATATCCAGAGTAAGTTAGCCATTTCTTCATCCAGTCAGCGTTTTTAGTTGGAATTCTGTGAAACATGGTATTACCTCCCCTGTTTACAGTCGCAGCTATTTACAATAGAGCGAAAACCCATGACTCTAAACTACGCTTTACTATTTATAAATTGCTGACTCTATTACCCAAACACCGAGCGAACTCTCCGCTCCTCACCACGGTGTGTCTCCGGTGATGCGGTTATTACGCCGTCAAAGTAGCAGTGCTTCGCCTTCAGAGAATAGTTCCCAGGTTTTATACGGGTAAAAGATGTCTGTGTCTCATTTGACTTTGTTATTTGTACATTATGTGACTATACAAATCACAACATGTAAATAGGAAAACGTTTGCGTTATTTTGCCACTCATTTGGATCAGTATGAAAGCTGCAACCATTCACATCCAGTCTTTGTGCTAAGCTAGGCTAGCGGTGGGTGCGTCAAACAGACTTATAGCACGCACGGAGATGAAAAAGGTATGTATGGACTTATCTAACTCTGGGGGGTAAGGTGAATAGGCTAAAGTCCCAAAAAGTCGGAGTGTTCCTTTAACTCACTAGTCCGGTTTCAAGTTCAACGGTTAACTACGCACTTGAGGGGAAGATGATCAGACATTTTTACATGGCTTGGTTGAATACTATGTGGAATGTGGTCATTTCTTGATAACAGACCACTGCTAAGTATAATGAAAAACAGACCGCTGCCATGCTCTGGAGGATAAACTCCATTAAATCAATTAACTCCTTTTTAAATCAAAATGTTCTGTCAAAAGCCATGTAATGTCATATAATAAGCGGGATAATGTAGAGCAGGGCAACTTCAGTCCTGGAGGGCCATTTTGTCCTATACTACAGAGTTTACTTCAACCCTACTCAAACACCTGAACAGGTCTTCATTACTAGAAACTTACAGGAAGGTGATTTTTTCAGGGTTGGAGCTAAACTCTTTAGCCTACAACTAGCCTACAACCCCTTCAGGCTGATTCAAGACCTCAGCCTGTCGGGGTTGTATTCCCTATAACAACCGCCTTTCTCTACATTATCCCCTAGCCTAAAGCGTTGCTGTCTTAAGACTTGAAATATAGTCAAGTCTTACTAGCATAGACTTGACAGCTTCTTCAGTGCATTCAATGTCATTAAAAGGCATTCATCTAGGCCTATTATTTGTATTCCACAAAATAAAGAAAGTTGTGTCTGCCTTTTCTCAAGGCCGGGAAAGCATGTGGGCTTGTGTTTAGGCTACGCATTTCATTCCACCAAGCATTGAATCGTTTTCTTCTTTTTTATTTAAATCCAGATTAACAAAACTTGAAATTAGGCCTATAAATGATACAAAAAAATAAAATAAACTTCGAACAAACTTTTGAAGTTGTCAAAAATCGTCTCCGACCCACTCCATATCTCCTGACATATGACGTATCATATTTTCTATATTTTCTTTCTTAATTAACAGATTTTATTAAAACAAAATATGAATATATAAAAACCAAATAAATTTAATTAAATGAGTACAACAAAAGTCATAAGGGCTAGAATGATCATTTTAAACATTTACTGTTGGTTTTAACAGATGGGCTAGAATAGGAAGTGTTGGTGTATTCTGCCATCTGTTGGACGTTCATTGGACTTGTTCAAAGGCTGTTTTTGATTGTCATTGATTTCCAAATTGAATGATTAAAATCAATCTTGCGAAACTATTCAATATAATGAGAGACAGCTGATTTGTTAAAGGGTTTTTTTCACATTCATCCCTCCAAAAATGATTCGAGCTGAAGTGCTGTCAGGAAAATTCAACTGTACAAAGCTTGTAAAAAAAAAAAAAATCTATTCAAAGAGGACATTGATGATACTATGAAAGTACTTCATGGTCAAACAATTTAGTGTTTCTTTTCTTCACAAACAAATAGAGGACCTCCAA